CCTAAACATCCTAATAACATTAGCGAAAGAGCAGGAATAAAGCACCTAGAGCATGGTTTGAATCTTGAAGGTTAAGATCTAGATCAGTTAAAACATATTAATTACTTCTGAATGGTCTCAAAGAGCATTTGCCGTGTATATTTATGTCAATAAAGCCTTGATGAGGGCACGGATGGAAATTCACATCACATTCCAATTCACCAGGGTACCCCAGTGCGTGTGTCTGAAGTTACTAGGTTCTGAAAAAACATCCTTGGTCTCCAAGCGTCCGTACTCTCCCAGGCACCCCCAGGGCTGGGCAAATGAACCGCGTCTCACGGACAGGCGATGCGGTGGCGAGGCACTCCCTTTGGCCATGAGGGTCCATGCGAGGTCACATCCCACCTCTCGCCGGTTCAAAGAGGAAGGAGACTCAGCGTGTGGAAATCTGTCTGTTACTAATACCAAGCCGATTTTTTTTTCAGCAATTGGGAGAGCGACCCGCGTAGTTAATTCACTAATATTGACCTTTTTAAAACGCTATCAAGAAAGCAATGTATAAGTGATGTCTTATGTTTGAAAAGATTTTTCTCTCTGCATAACAAACGGCCACCTTATTCTTTAGAGGGAATTAGTAAATGCATCCAAATTCATAAACTAATGAATACATCAGAGTATGCCCGAATGTGCTGGAGAAAAAATGGATCTGATTTGTCCTATAGGAAAATGGCCCAGTAGGGTTTTTCTTTCTTTTTTTTTTCCTGCTTTGATTTGTACAGTTTTTACCCCTCCCCCTCCGCGCACACATACACATGCTCACTCACACATGCTGCAATATACGCTGCATATTGTGTCTGCCTACACAAGTTTTCTGCTACGTATAGTTGGAAACCTGTCTATGAAACGCTTTGTTTTCACTTAGGCTTTCTTCAGATACACCATTTTATTATGCGCCTTTTTAAATCAAATTGCGCTGCAGTACCTATTTATTTAATCTTCCATTATTATCTGTTTTCCAGAGCATTCTCTCACGAGAATAAACGCATCTGAACTGAGCACAGCTATCCATCTGCTTCAAGCGACCGGAGGGTCTCTATCCCTCCTGGAGGGGCCGCAGCAGCCGTGCGCCCCCGGGGTTCGGCCCCTCAGCCCGCAGGTGTCCGCTCCGCTCCGCCGCTGCGCTCGCTGCCTTGCACTCCGCTCTGATGCCTACTGCGCCGAGGAGTTACCGCGGTGCAGTCATCCCGCAGCGGTGCGTTCACTTCATTTGTTCAACAACATCATGCACTCGAGTCCCTTCTAGATAGACAGGCTTCAACGGGCTCGGTGACACGGAGCTCTCGGCTCACATGAAAACTACGAGTTTAGCTACTGCGGGCTGCCTTTGCCTATACACCTGGAACAGAGCAGTTCTAGATCTGATCTCCCTTTTCAGAAGTCGAGCATTTTTGGCGAAGGAAAACAAGGTTAATGTCTCTGAAACGGCCGAATTCTCCCATCATTCGGGGGCTGCCTCTTGAAATCTGCTGGGAAATGGCCCCAGCGTTCTGACCCCGCGCTGGTGGTTCTCTGGCGCGCTGACTTTGTCCACGTCTGCTGTAACTTCGAAAGCCGAAAAATTGCCCTTTGGCAGCCGGTCCTTTCACATCTTGTATTTTATCTACCGTAACATTTATATATTCAAAATCTACACAAGGGTTCGTCGACCCCGAGCCTCCGGGCCCCGGCCACAGGGGAAACCGGTGCAGCTGCTGACACCCATACGGGCTGAGGGGAAGAAACTGAGTCCTCGGACACCGCGAAAGCGGATCCTCGGTGAGCTATGGTCTTCACTGGCGCTGTGTGGGGTTGGTAAGGTGGATGCTCATGTCCCCTGGTATAAATTAGCAGAAGTGTATCCTACTGATCTATTTATTTTTCCCAAACCAAGGGTGTTATAAAAGACATTCTCTGCAGCTCATGTTGACAAATAACTGGTGAGCTACCTGACAGTGTTAGTCCAGTTGTTGCCCATATGTCTAAATAGCCTCCTAGAGACGACAGTGCCGTTTAGCAAGAGAATTACCTCAAATGAAAACCAGAAGGAAGATTTTTTTTTCCTTCTCCCCTAAACCCACTTTACACCTGAGGGCAGTAATACTCAAGGAAGATTTTTTAAAATTCAGTATCACTTTCCCCCACAGCAGCGATCGCTTTACAACATGACGGAGGGCGGAGAAGCATGCGCTTTCCCCCCCTCCCCTTTCTTTTTTATTTTTTTTTAAATCCATACCTTCACTAAATGCCTTGCATTCGTGTTTGTTTAACAAAGAGTCGCTTCGGTAAACAAGGCAATCAAAAGAACATTTGAGACTACGTGGATACATTTCTCTGCTGCTTGTAGAAGCCTGAACACCCAGAGGAGTTGTTGAATGCCTCTCTTCCCGTCTTTCCTTTATTTCCCCAAATGAACACAGGGAAAGCTTTTAACCGAGGGGAGATTTAAGGTGATAAGCAACGAACAGGCAGTCGGCACTGGAAGCCTGCGCTTTGAGCTGCAGCCGGCCGCGGAGCAAAAGGGATGGGGTGCTTCAAAGGCTATTTTTTTTTTTTTACTTTTCTTTTGGTTGACGTTTTTCTTCTTTCGAAAACTGAGACGGTTTAGTCTTCCTCGAAATACTCCTAGTGTTGCCTTACCAGTGCAATTTCATTTTAAACAACTATTTTAGCCAAAGTCTCGCACCGATTGGTTTGGCAACTATTTCAGCCTTTTGAGAGTCCGTTATGGTTTTAGGGAAGACTCTACAAGCCTTCTCCCACCACTCTAGGCGCTCTCTCTCTGCTCTATCTACTCTTTTCAGGAGCCAGCAATTTTAGGAGCAGTCTGGTTTTTAGAGTTTTTTGTTTGTTTGTTTGTTTGCTTGCTTGCTTGCTTTGCGTTGTTTTGTTTTTTTTCCCAGGGAATACGCGACATTAGGTATAGTCCTGCTTCCCGGGGAAAAAAAAAAAACCAACACACTCACTTCGAGGGCAGTTTCAAAGTGCTTCTGTCTCCTGTCGTAGGAGAATTCGGGTTTGGGTCTGGGGTTTCTCTCTTCTTTTTTTTTTTTTTTTTTTTTTTGTCTGTTCGTGGGATATTTCGGATTTTTTTTCCAGCGTGTATCAAGAAAACTAGTTAAAATCTTCCTCCATCCTTCTCCTCTCGCCCCCCGCACGACTCGGTTCAAGCTGTCCCACAACGCATCAGCCCGAGGGCTGAACAGCATACGGCTAAAGGTGGGGAGGGGGTCGTGAGCGCAGGAGACGTGACCGCAGCTCATTTCTCCCAAGCAGGACCACTCGTTCGATGGGCTTTTGGGGTGAAGAATTTGGGGGAAGGGGGCTGTGTAAAACTGCGGCGATCCTCACAACTCCGAGGTCCCGTGGGACCTCGGCCTCTCGTCTCCGGTGCCAAGCGGACAGGCGACGGCCAAAATACCCACCTTAACAAAAATAAGCCCCTAACAGGTACGCGCGGGGGAAGGCGTGTGCGTGGGGGGTGTGTGTGTCCGTGTGTCCCCGTTCCCCCCCGGCTGCGCCGCGGGTCAGAGGCGGGCCACGGGGAGCAAGGGGGAGAGGGGAGGGAGCTGCGTTCGTGTGTGACGGTACGCGCCGTCCTCCACCGAGTGGGCGGACCGAGGGCGGGCGGCGGCGGCCAATGGGAGGCAGAGGCGGGTCCGTGAGTGGCAGAACCCCGGGAGGCGGGCCCTGTCCCGGGGGGAGGAGACGGGGGGGGGTTGGGGAAAAATGAAGTTGTGCTAAAAGGCTTTTAGCCATCAAGAAGTTATTAGGCATTTCTCAGCCGCAAATTAGGGATTCTTCATTAATACCAACCTCGTCCCCCTACCCCACCCTACCACACCCCCATTAATGTAGACGGATGAGCATAGCTGGGAGGCCGATAAAAGGGGATGGGGAGGCGGCAATGTCTGTCATGCGCCATCGGGTGGCGAGGAGCAGTGGACAGGCGCAAACTTTTCCCCGTGCCATTAATGAGCCAATTAAAGAGTTGGGCTTCTCACCCCGGGAGAGCTCTCTGCAGGCTGCCGGGCTAAGGGACTGAAGGTAGGTAAAAAGAAGATCACAACCCACCACAAGCTGCCAGCCGCAGCGAAGAGCCGCAGTGATGTGCGGGAACTAGGCTGTGGGTCGCTTCCCCACGGTGGAAAATGAGAAAAAAAAAAAAAAAAAAAGATAATTTGGTTAGAAAAATGTGATGTTTGGGTGGATTCCGGCTCGGGGCAGGGCTGGGCAGAGCGTGCCTCCCCTGGCTAGCGTGCAGCTGAGGTAGACACCCCAGCCATCCCCGCGACCCCAGCCGGAGAATGAGGAGAGTAGCCGAGAAGAGGGGAAATTTAAAAGAAAAAAAATGGGGGAAAAAAAAAAAAAAAGAAAGAAAAAAGGGAAAACAAGCAGAAATACTCCGTGATTGGAAATGTTTCTCCCACTGCGGGGCTGGCAGCACGCAGCGCGGGAAGGTCTGGCCGCCCCTGCGGTGCCGGCCTGAGGGAGAGCGGAGGGGACGGCGCAGCCCTGGCATCACCGAGAGCGGGAACGCCTGTGCCAGGAGCCGGGGACTGGCTTCTGCCGCGGTTTCATTCTGGCCACGCAGTGCACACCTGGGCTGGGGAGTGCGAGGGCTGTGGGAGGAGAGTGCAGGGCAGGCTTCTCCGTGGGCACGCTAGATGGGAACACTTTTTTTTTTTTTTTTTTAATTTCCCCGCTGGTGGGAGAAAATACTACACCCACCGAAGGCTGATTGTTGATTATTTCTCGCGGCTCTGCTGCGGCGGTTTGTGCCGGCTCTCTTATTTCAGGACTGCTGTTGTCTTCACAGAGAGAGGCTCCCGGGAAGCCACCCAGCTTTCTGGGAGGCAGCTCGCGGCCGGGCGTTCGGCCCTCGGATTGACAGTGGACAACGGGAAGAAACGGGATTACTATGACCCTCTTCCGAGGAGCTCTGCTGCCCGCCACGAGTAGGAAAAAAGGCCAGATATATGTCGTTTGGTTGCCTGGTGCCTCAAATTTCTAGTGGGTTTTTTTTTCTTTTTTTTTTTCTTTTTTTTTTTTTTACTCCAGTTGCTTGGAGTGCTGAGCTGCATTGGATAAATGCCTTTGCCATCCGACTGACTCTGCTTTTCAGAGAATATATACTTTTTTTTTTTTTTTTTAAGAACACCTCTCTACTCTTCAATACTTGTTTTGCATTTTACACAACAGAACCGTTTCTCAGAGTAGTGGACGCATTCAGAATCGCTGCCTGATGCTCCGGAGAGATGAATTGCAGCTGAGTTTCCCTTTCACCTTTGGATGAATGTCTGGAGTCTAAATTGTAGCAAAGAAGGGGATAAAAAACACGATGAAAGAGAAGTCTAAAAATGCTGCCCGGACTAGACGGGAGAAAGAAAACAGTGAATTTTATGAACTGGCTAAATTACTACCCCTGCCCTCCGCTATCACCTCTCAGCTGGACAAAGCATCCATAATCAGACTCACCACCAGCTATTTAAAAATGAGGGTGGTTTTCCCAGAAGGTAGGTGAGAATGCCTATTCGCCTCTATTTTCATTCCTATCCAGGTGTCGCTTATCACTTTTACCTTAAAAAAGAAGATAAAAACGATGAGGTGGTGTGCTCGGAGACAGAGTGCTCTCCGCTGTCACTTTTCTCTGTTGTAAATACTTTCCCTTTAGTTCCTATGACAGGTCTGTTTGGGGACTTACGATGCTTTTGTCAATACTTGAAGGCACTGAGCTCTGCTGCAAACCCGTGTTTTCTTTTTCCTTAGACTCCCAGTAAGATGTGCATCCCCCGCCAAGCACACGCGTGGCGAAAGAGGGAATGATTCACCCCTATTTATAGACATCCTGTAGGGCAGTTAGTATATGGGTAAATATTTACATAAGTCTATGCAAAGTCCTAAAGCCTTAGTTCAACTATCGAGCAAAGGTGCGGTGTACAGGTACAGGACACGCATACAGGCGTGCTCACACACACACGCTAAATAAATAAGTCAAGCACACCGAATTGCATCATCAATGTGCCGTGTTTCGTTCTGAGGATCGCTAGGGCAGTTTGAGGGCTTTAACAGACCTCGGAAATTTTTAACAGGAGTTTTGCACCCAGACATCCAAACCCCCTGTCCACCCAGTACTGCAAAACCAGAGTCCTAGCCTGGGCCTGATTCTCCTCAACAGGCAAAAGTAAACTTCACGTTGACTTCCACGGCAGCAGCAACAGTCCCGCCTGTCTAGCAAAAAAAGTCTTAAGCATCCTAAAATTTCTCGTGTCTTTTGCTTTTAAGTAGAATTAGGATTTAAAGCGACCATCTTGGGGCTTCTAAATCGGCTACCAAGAAAAACAAACAGCACGAAGTTAAGAGAGTCAGAATAAAGTTTTTTCTATGTTCTCACTCTACTGGTCCTATAGGAGAAAAAATAAAAAATGTTTCATGAACTTTTTATTTAAATCAACTTTATGGAATTCCATCTGTATGAAAGAAAAAGCATCAGGAGCTTTTTTTTTTTCTTCTCCCAATCTAATACAAAATTCGCTATTACTTTTGCTGAAAAGTGTGTGTACATAAGAAACAACATAATACAGCTATGTCCTCCTGTGTTTTCTGTAGCTGTATCTCGACTCGGTTGGTCTGTACTTTTTTTACAAATCAAGAGTGTGTATATGCCCTGGTTTTGTTTTGCTTTAGTTTTGTGGAGGTTGGTTTGTTTGCCTGTTTTGGTTTGTTTGGGGTTTTGTTTTGGTTTTTTTTTTTATTTTATATTTTCAGATTAAATTGGTGGACCATTGGTATTAATTCTACTTTTTAAAAATAAATATTCAATGTGGCAGTCATTTGGACGGGGGGGGGATAATTCCCCCCCTGCTCCAGGTTACTTATGAATGCTTATACCTAAAGTCCACAGTAGTAATTTCCAATTCAGTGCATCTTACCATTTCTTTAAACAATCTTCCATATTTCCGAGTCACTTATAATCAAAGAAGGGGTTAAATGAAACCTTTAAAAATAATAATAATTAAAGCCTTCATCAATCCACTTTCCTCTTCTATGTGATCTGCCACCTTGAAGATCATTATGCGGGACAGTCTTCTGTTTCAAAGGCGACCGAGTTGTCCTTTATACTGTCAGCGCATACTTTATAAAAATAAAGCTATTGCAAACCCTGATGCCCATGATGTTCCTAAAAGGATTATTAGCAATGATTTGTCAACTCCTGCGGTCTCAGTAGGCTACCTTTCTGCGTGATTTCGAGCAGGTCTCGTCAATTACTGGTGCCTATGTAGCGGGTTGTTTGATCAGAAGAAGCATATGGTGTTGCTTGTAGGCTGTGAGTAATCATGGGAAAAGAAGAATAGCTGATCCTCGTCCCTCGGTGGCAGCGCAGGATGCCTAAATGCCCTGGGGAACCGTGCGGCGAAGCGCGCCGGGGCCGCTGCCGGCCGCAGCAGATGCTAATTTGAGTGCGGAGACAGAAAGGGCGGCTGAGCGGGGCTCGGGGGGCAGCGGAGCCCTCGCAGTCTCATTAAAGGCAAACTGCA